GGTGAAAAAAAGGGTTTTGTTGTACTCGCCTTCATCGGTTGATGGTGCTGCACTGGTCAGCCGGGGCTGCTGGTGGCCGCCGTTGCCCCCAGGGGGCATGTTCGGGTGGCTGGTGTTTAGCTCGCTGTCCCCCGGGTCCTTTCCCGCACAGCTGTTCGCAGATTTGCATTTGCCTTTAGAACCGTAGGATCGTTCAGGTTGGAAAAGACCTTTAAGATCATCAAGTCCAACCACTAACCTGGCACTGCTAAGTCCACCAATAAACCATATCCCTAAGCACCACATCTACACATCTTCCGAATACCTCCAGGGATGCGTTTGTTGAATATCAAAAGGTTTGTGTTGCCTAATCCCTCCAGCCTGTCTAGGTCCCCCTGTACGTGAGCCCTGCCCTCAAAGGTATTTATTGGTCCCCAAGTCTGATGTCATCTGCAAACTTGATATGGCCATGCTTCAGGTCACCGATAAAGGTATTAAACAGAACATGTCCCTGGATAAATCCCAGCAGTACTGCATTTGTTGTTGGCCTCCAAGTAGAGTACAAGCTATTACCTCTGTCCTCAGAGCCCCATAGTTAGCCATCTAGTTGGCCACCCACCCAGACCACAATGTTTAGGATACAAGATGATTGTGGGAGACTGTTGAAAGCTGTGCTGAAGTTGTGGTGAATGTCATCCACTCCTTTTGCCTCATTTGGAAATCTAGTCATTTTGTCATAGAAAGTAATTGGGTTGGTCAGGAAGATTTTGCAGTTGGGCAATCCATGCTGATTGTTCCAAGAACCTCCTTCATGTGCCCAAAAATGAGAACTTGTCCAATCACTTGTTCTGTGATTTCCCCAGGGACCAAGTGAGCATGACTGGTCTGTAGCTCCCAGATGCTCCTCTTGGGTGTTTTCTGAAGGTGGGAAGACATTTGCTTTTCTCCAGTCATTGGAACCCTCCCTCAATTTCCTTTCAAAGATGACAGAGTCTTGCTCTGACTTTGGCCAGCTCTCAGAATGCAGCCCAGCTGGACCCAAAATCACTTGTTCCACTCAGCAACCACCCCACATGTCCTTCTTCAGCCTTTTGCTACCCCTGTAGCAGTAGAAGCATTTCTTGTTGCCTTTGACGTCCTGGCCTATTTCAGCCTTAGGTGAACTTTCATTCTCCTGAGACAATCCCTACATGCCTGAGCAATGTTTCTAGATTCCTTCTTTGCAGCCTGTCCATGATTGTATCTCCTGTGTTACTGTCTTTTTGCACTGGAGTGCTGTCATAAGTTTGCTGTTTAGCCAAGCCAGTCTCCCAATAGATCTACTTGTTTTCCTGAGTGTGAGGAGGCACTGTTTTTATGATTGGAGGAGGTTGTCCTTAAAGACCTGCTGCCAGCTTTCCTGAGCTCCTTTGCCCTTCAGAGCTGCCTCCCAGGGCATCCTGCCTACCAGTTCTTTGAATAAACTCAAGTCTTTCTCCTGAAGTCCAGGGGCTCTGGTACTCATCTTCCTCACACACCTCTCAGCAACTTGAACTCCACGACTTCTGGGTCGCTGCAGTTGAGGCTACCACTGATTATCACATGCCAAGCCATTTCTTCAATACTTGTGAATAGTAAAGGCAGAACTGCTACATCTCCATTTGTTTAGAAATGCATTGACTGACTATGTGGAAGTAAGCTTAACTGTTGGATGCTTATTCCATCCAGCTCCACACTGGTAAGTGCGTTGTTTTGAGAACAAATCTGGCCTGAACTATTTTGCCCTCATTCTCACAGTGCTGTGTGCGCCCTGGCAGCCTTGGACTGTCTGCATTCATCACACAGGTAAGCTGCTACCTGGATAATGCAGCTATGCATAACCAGGGGTTAAACACATATGGAACTAGGAGTCTTAGTCATTCACTCTTCTCCTCTAGATTTTTTCCTCCTCTTTGCCGTTCTAGTTATGGCTTTATTCCTTCTCATCAGATGTCTTCCAACAAAATTTGTTGCTCTGTCAGTGTGCCAGTAGAAAGGAATTAAAATATTCTAGTCTCTTGATGAGCTGCTTTATGTAATGATTTATGCTTTCATTCTTCTGGTAGTGTTCATGGAGCAACAGAGGAATAGTTGATGGCTTCAAGACTTCCACAGACATAGAGTGAAAAAAAAAAAAGTACTGGAAAATGGAAGTTTTAATTTTTTGTTATGTAATTTGTACAAATTAACAAAATAAATGCAACTGGCTAAGAAAAGCTAGCCTTTGTTGCCATGGAGTTGTACGAAGTATTGATTAAAGAAATTACTGAAAGGCTAAGAACATGCAGAGTGGGCATCTATATGGGCAATATAGGGCAGCCTCATTAACATTTTTTCAGCACTGGTAGAACTTATGCATATGATACCAGCTGTGGTGTTTTATAATCTGATAATTGTATTAGCCTTGCTCCTATCTCTGCGTAGGCTTTGCATATTTTAGAGCAGCCATGTTTTAATAAAACATTGACATATTATTGTGACATGTTGAAACAAAACAGAAGTCAGATGACTGGGACATCTCTCTGCAAATAAGCCAGGCTAGTCCTGGAAGATATGATTGAACAGTATGTTTGAAGCCTGACTGTACTGGGTCAGCATAGCATTAATAGGATAAAACTAAAGGGACTACTATTAGTGACTCAAATCCAAATTTTTCACCTATCAGTCTCATCCAAGTACATTTTTCTGCAACATTTTAAGGCTGACATGACTACATTTTCCTAGATGTGGTTTTACTGACTTACCATGATCATTTTCTCTTGAAAGGTGACATAGCTGATAGAACTGTCTTGGAAAATAAGTTAATCTCTGGATAAGAAGTATTTCTGCTTAATACAGCGTGCAATGAATATAAACTATAAAGAGAGTGCTTTTAATTAGCAAGTTCACAAATTAATAGTTACTCTTACAATCAGGTTTGTTACTTTAATCAGTGTTGCTGCCATACACTATTCTGCTGTAGCCCTCAATTTAACTTTCATTACGAAGTATGTATTTTTCCTTAAGCAATTTGTCATGCTTACTTAAATGCTAAGATTTAAAACAACATAATTGCAAGCCATTCTACCTCATTACTTATTTAAGAGGATGTTTGTGTATATCATGTATTTTATACTTTCTCCTAGCTAAAGGGATGTAGAAGTAGCAATTGTTTCTGCTGTAAACAGGTCTTTGAGGTCTGAGATTATTCCCTTAGTGTGCATCCCCAAAGTTCCAGTACCAGGCCTGTGTTCCCCAGATTATTTGATGGCAGATATCAAAATCCCAGGTGTCTGTAAGCATACTTCTTGCAACAACACTAGCACAAAGAATATGCAGAAATTAAACCAGGAGTAAGAACTCCCCTACAAAAGAGATCTCGGAAGAGAATCTCCCCACTAGATCTGGAGTTCAAGTGCTAGTTGCCTTTAGATTATGTTCCTTTGCAGTCCTAGTGTAAGCCTCTAGCTATAATCTAATTAACTGTCAGATAGATGGATGCTTACAGTGCAAGTTACTCACTTATTCAGACTACTTTCTCAGAAGAACAGAGGCACCTGTCTCTGACACAAGCTGAAAAGTTTTCTTGTTATAATCCTTTGCCTATCATCAGTTCTACAGGCTTAACAGCTGACAGGAACACAGCCTCGAGTACCTTTTTTCATCCAAGAGTTAGTCTGTCATAGCTTATATTCAGAAATATGTGGACTTTTTTAGGTGTATGTAACTGAGGAGAGATGTAGAAAAATCCAATTTACTTTGGAAGTTGAGAATTTTGGGGAAGGAAAGCCAATTAAAAGATGTGTATTATTAAAAGTTATATATATGCACCACAAATTTTGAGTTTGCTAACATGAATTTCCATTTTGTATTAAGACTAGACTCCTTTCTAGCATTTCTTCAGAGGAAAATATTTTGTCAGGCTTATAGTGCATCAAAATAAACACAAGGAAAGAAACAGGTTCACAGTATAAAATCTTCAGTAGTAACTCCAGTTTTGTTGGTATATTTTTCTTTACCAAATCCTCTATAGCATATACAAAAACAGCAGAATAAGAGCGAGCCTTTAAGTATCAGTTCAGGAAGAAAACAGTCTTGTCTGGAGTACATTTCATCTGCTTTAACATAATCATTTAAACAGTCTGCATTAAGAACCAAAAAGCCAGAGTAATACAGAATCAAATACTTGGGACATTGAAACAATCTTTTTTTCTTAGGTAATATTCAGTAATAAACACTTATAAAAACACATTTCTCATAATTAACATAGTTTTTAATATATGGACTGGTGCCATAAGTAGTCTAAACCAGAGGTTCTTCATTGAGCAATTTTTGCTGGGCTTTTTATGCCACTGCAAAAAATCCGTAGAGGGGCATAAAATTCACGACCAGCAAATATCCCCGTGGATAAACCTCCTTAAAGCAGCCATTTTTCTTACAACACTATTACACCATCATCAATAGCTTGTTGTTCAAGAACACAATTCACTACCAGAATAAGTGCCTCAGGAAACCAGTGCCATCCTGTTTGCAGATTGTCTGCAAAGATGCCCAAGGTAGCTGGAATGGTTTCAAGTAGGTAGTTGATGGCAATGTTAGTCAACTGATTGGTGTACCCATTCCTCCACTTAGTATGCTCTTGTAACTTGCAGAAATAAGTAATTTTCCTGTTGCAAAATAATTAGTACTGCTGCACATTCAGGTTTGTTTTTTTTTTTTTACATTTAATTATTGTTACATATACCAAGGCTTTTAATTCAAGGACATAAAAGGTCTTAATTTATAGATTTATAACTTATGTTTTCATAAGTTACATCATGGCTATACACTTAAGCCATATCTACACTACCAACTTTGGCCAACAATCAGGGACAATAGGTGTGATCCTCATCAGTACCACACTGCTCATACAGACTGCTGTAAATGCCATTATACTGGGGGGGAAAAAAACCCCAAATTCCTTCTTTCTGCAGAAACCTGCTCACAGTATTGCTGGTGTGAGTTACATCCACACCAGGACCCAGGAATTCTCTGCCAGTATCACATGCTAGCAGAGGTACACTGGCAGTGCTCCGGGGGTTCCTGTAGCTTCAATCCAGGGTCTAGTTCCTTTTTTTTTTTTTTCCTCCTTCCTTTCTACTGATGTGGTTGCACAGCTCCTTTTTTTTTTTTTCCCATCTTCAACGCAGCATACCACATGTTTTCACAAAAGGAAGTAATCAAAATGGTAATTTAAAAAGTTTATTAAATCAGTGAATCAGCAAGTATTATTTATTTCAAAAAAGCCACATTATCTTTTTTCTTCTTTCATCTAGATTTAGCTGTACTCAATAGTAGTAAAAATGGGACTATAAAATGTAGAATGAGATGAAATGAAAAAGTTGAGATGTAATCTGAGGACTATTCAAATATACTTTCAGCTCTTCTACCCAAAATGCAGCCAATGTGTGTAGATTTATGCCTTACACATTTTCATATCAGTATGTTTGTTATAGAACACAAATATTTTATACCCAAATAAAAGCCTCGTTACAGGTTAGCAGTACTGTTAACTGTATAGTGTAGATTCTGTTAATTAACTTGAAATAATTTAGCCTCCCCTTTAC